CAGTAAAGTTAGCTTCAGTAAAGTTAGCTTCAGTAAAGTTAGCTTCAGTAAAGTTAGCATCAGTAAAGTTAGCATCAGTAAAGTTAGCTTCAGTAAAGTTAGCATAAGTAAAGATAGCTTCAGTAAAGTTAGCATCAGTAGAGTTAGCTTCAGTAAAGTTAGCTTCAGTAAAGTTAGCATCAGTAGAGTTAGCTTCAGTAAAGATAGCTTCAGTAAAGATAGCTTCAGTAAAGTTAGCATCAGTAAAGTTAGCTTCAGTAAAGTTAGCCTCAGTAAAGTTAGCTTCAGTAAACTTAGGTTCAGTAAACTTAGGTTCAGTAAAGTTAGCTTTAGTAAAGTTAGCTTCAGTAAAGTTAGCTTCAGTAAAGTTAGCTTCAGTAAACTTAGGTTTAGTAAAGTTAGCTTTAGTAAAGTTAGCTTCAGTAAAGTTAGCTTCAGTAAAGTTAGCTTCAGTAAAGTTAGCTTCAGTAAAGTTAGCTTCAGTAAAGTTAGCTTCAGTAAAGTTAGCATCAGTAAAGTTAGCATCAGTAAAGTTAGCATCAGTAAAGTTAGCTTCAGTAAAGTTAGCTTCAGTAAAGTGAGCTTCAGTAAAGTGAGCTTCAGTAAAGTGAGCTTCAGTAGAGTAAGCTTCAGTAAAGTTAGCTTCAGTAAAGTTAGCTTCAGTAAAGTTAGCTTCAGTAAAGTTAGCTTCAGTAAAGTTAGCTTCAGTAAAGTTAGCTTCAGTAAAGTTAGCTTCAGTAGAGTAAGCTTCAGTAAAGTTAGCTTCAGTAAAGTTAGCTTCAGTAAAGTTAGCTTCAGTAAAGTTAGCTTCAGTAAAGTTAGCTTCAGTAAAGTTAGCATCAGTAAAGTTAGCATCAGTAAAGTTAGCTTCAGTAAAGTTAGCATAAGTAAAGATAGCTTCAGTAAAGTTAGCATCAGTAGAGTTAGCTTCAGTAAAGTTAGCTTCAGTAAAGTTAGCATCAGTAGAGTTAGCTTCAGTAAAGTTAGCTTCAGTAAAGATAGCTTCAGTAAAGATAGCTTCAGTAAAGTTAGCATCAGTAAAGTTAGCTTCAGTAAAGTTAGCCTCAGTAAAGTTAGCTTCAGTAAACTTAGGTTCAGTAAACTTAGGTTCAGTAAAGTTAGCTTTAGTAAAGTTAGCTTCAGTAAAGTTAGCTTCAGTAAAGTTAGCTTCAGTAAACTTAGGTTTAGTAAAGTTAGCTTTAGTAAAGTTAGCTTCAGTAAAGTTAGGTTCAGTAAAGTTAGCTTCAGTAAAGTTAGCTTCAGTAAAGTTAGCTTCAGTAAAGTTAGCTTCAGTAAAGTTAGCATCAGTAAAGTTAGCATCAGTAAAGTTAGCATCAGTAAAGTTAGCTTCAGTAAAGTTAGCTTCAGTAAAGTGAGCTTCAGTAAAGTTAGCTTCAGTAAAGTTAGCTTCAGTAAAGTGAGCTTCAGTAAAGTGAGCTTCAGTAAAGTGAGCTTCAGTAAAGTGAGCTTCAGTAAAGTTAGCTTCAGTAAAGTTAGCTTCAGTAAAGTTAGCTTCAGTAAAGTTAGCTTCAGTAAAGTTAGGTTCAGTAAAGTTAGGTTCAGTAAAGTCAGCTTCAGTAAAGTTAGCTTCAGTAAAGTTAGGTTCAGTAAAGTCAGCTTCAGTAAAGTCAGCTTCAGTAAAGATAGCTTCAGTAAAGATAGCTTCAGTAAAGTTAGCTTCAGTAAAGATAGCTTCAGTAAAGATAGCTTCAGTAAAGTTAGCATCAGTAAAGATAGCTTCAGTAAAGATAGCTTCAGTAAAGATAGCTTCAGTAAAGATAGCTTCAGTAAAGATAGCTTCAGTAAAGTTAGCTTCAGTAAAGTTAGCTTCAGTAAAGATAGCTTCAGTAAAGATAGCTTCAGTAAAGTTAGCATCAGTAAAGTTAGCATCAGTAAAGTTAGCATCAGTAAAGTTAGCATCAGTAAAGTTAGCATCAGTAAAGTTAGCATCAGTAAAGTTAGCTTCAGTAAAGTTAGCTTCAGTAAAGTTAGCTTCAGTAAAGTCAGCTTCAGTAAAGTCAGCATCAGTAAAGTTAGCTTCAGTAAAGTTAGCTTCAGTAAAGTGAGCTTCAGTAAAGTGAGCTTCAGTAAAGTGAGCTTCAGTAAAGTTAGCTTCAGTAAAGTGAGCTTCAGTAAAGTGAGCTTCAGTAAAGTGAGCTTCAGTAAAGTGAGCTTCAGTAAAGTTAGCTTCAGTAAAGTTAGCTTCAGTAAAATTAGGTTCAGTAAAGTCAGCTTCAGTAAAGTTAGCATCAGTAAAGTTTGCTTCAGTATAGATTGCTTCAGTAAAGTTAGCTTCAGTAAAGTTAGCTTCAGTAAAGTTAGCCTCAGTAAACTTAGGTTCAGTAAACTTAGGTTCAGTAAAGTAAGCTTCAGTAAAGTTAGCTTCAGTAAAGTTAGCTGTAAAGTTAGCTTCAGTAAAGTTAGCTTCAGTAAAGTTAGCTTCAGTAAACTTAGGTTCAGTAAAGTTAGGTTCATAAAAGTCAGCTTCAGTAAAGTTAGCTTCAGTAAAGTTAGCTTCAGTAAAGTTAGGTTCAGTAAAGTCAGCTTCAGTAAAGTCAGCTTCAGTAAAGATAGCTTCAGTAAAGTTAGCTTCAGTAAAGTTAGCTTCAGTAAAGTTAGCTTCAGTAAAGATAGCTTCAGTAAAGTTAGCTTCAGTAAAGTTAGCTTCAGTAAAGTTAGCTTCAGTAAAGTTAGCTTCAGTAAAGTTAGCTTCAGTAAAGTTAGCTTCAGTAAAGTTAGCTTCAGTAAACTTAGCTTCAGTAAAGTTAGCTTCAGTAAAGTTAGCTTCATTCATTGAAACAAAATGTGCGCCTTTGGGGTTTGTATTCTTTGTAATTACGTATTTTCACAGTCTTATACCTCAACAGTTTTACATCAAACTGCGGCTTTCTTGACTTTAAAATGTATCTTTTAAATTGACAAACATCATATGTGTAATTCAGGGCACAATTCAAACGAGATCAAAATATTTGTTGTCTCTCGCATAGACATAATAAATACATAGACGCCCTATTGGCCGCTGCAGGGTACGTCAACGGCGCCGCCATGTTGGGGATGGCAACTTTCCCATACCTCTCATATCAGGAATTGAGAAAAATGCCTGTTTTGTGCGCTGTTTGGGGCTGTACACATCGCCACACAATTGAAAACAGCTTTCGAGGAATTACCTTTCACAAGCAAGACTGAACGTTTGTTTTTGGTTGTATTTGGTCATGATTTAATTAGTAATAGTAACGTTCAGAGGTTACATTTAAAAATACTACTGTTATTGTGTCACAAAATGTAGTTTTAATAGTTTTTCAGTCGACAATGTAGTTGTTTAAAGCTCAAATATGTGGTTTGTTTATAAAGATAGCGCCTATTTAAAAATTTGATCTGACGCTTTCGGAGTTGTAAGATGCGCTCAGCGCTCGTCTACCCCGCCTGGAACAGCCGTACCTCGGCCAGTGCTTCTGAAGTTTTCCCGCTGACTCGGATGTCTGTAGTCTAGTGGTTAAACATGAGATATAATTCGTCTTGATGTGTATATCTAAGGGGCGATCTTTGGTCTCATTAATCTATAAATGGTTCCCTAGTAAATTGTTTTGGCTGAGGGCAAAGTGAAGTTTCATAACTTTATATTTAGGCTATTTTAACGTTGTATCCTGCTGTATGTTTGACTGAAGCTACTTCTGTTATAATGGCTATTACTGATCTATAAAACTGAAATTTAACAAAAAGAGTTAAATATTAAAATGTCACTATTTAACTTATTCTGTAATTGATAATTCTTATTCTATTGCTATTATTATAGTATTATTAATAAACTATATGCTATTATCAATATTTTTATGATTGTATTATTGTACTTATGATATTATATAATTATACTATTCATTACTATTTTATTTGCTGTATACTATTTGTTTATTTTATTGACTAAACTCTTTACTATTACTTCTCACTTTATGTTATATTTACTATTTGCATTGCACTGTAGTTGTACCATAACGTATTATTATAAAGGATCCATCAGTTATCTTTGTTATTGCTAAAATCTGGTCAATCACAGAAAATGCTTTTTCCACAATAAGAAAACTTAAATTATATCTCAGTATGGGGGTCTTCACCATTCTTATCCAAGAATAAAAAGCCAAATACATGACAAGCCTGAGCTTTGACCATTCTTTATAAAAAATTTTTTTTTTACAATTTTCACAACATTACCTTGTTTGTGGTCGCTACTTAAGTTGTGCCTTTGCTCTCACTCGTATGTGTTGAGTTAATGCTTGTCTGTCTTTTGGAGCACTTGTTATTAAACTACGCTTGTAACTTTATTCATGTGTGTACACACACATCCGTGACAGTTATGACCTACTTGAACATTTTAAAGCACTGTTTATTTATTTTGTATCTTTGTTTTATTGTATTTATTTGTGCTGCCGCTTGTATTTTGTTTATTTGTTCTTATTTTATTACCGACTGTTTATTTGTCTTAAAAAAACTTTATATTAGTTAGGCTAGCAGTTTTTATTGTGTATGATTGAATCGAGAATTGTGAAATTTTGCTGGTGTCATAACCATATTTATTAAAATACAAGGTTACTTGGGTCAAAAACACATTAAACATTTTCACATTAAACACCAACAAAAATTCATTTACAATAAATCTGCATCGTTTTTAAAACTAAACTAGCTGCTAATTCAGTGACGTCACACAGCGTTTCTGACATGCTAGATAATATTTATGTCATAATTTATCAAAATATCCAAAATTCGATTAGTATTGAAAGTGCAGTGAATGCAAACTTTCTGGACACTAACACTATCAGGAGAGACATCATTTAGAGGATTTACTTCTGTATGTTAAAGAGGTTTTTAATGTGTATGTGGCCTGTGTTTCTTCTTCCATTACTGCTTTAATCTGTTCATTTACATTCACAGACGGCTCTCAGTAGCACTGGCCGCCTCTGTGTGGTGTGTGTCCTCCCATTCACCCGTGTGTGTGTCTCAATTCGCAGAACTGTATGGTTTCGACGTTCTCATTGATTCCAACCTCAAACCGTGGCTCTTGGAAGTGAACCTCTCTCCCTCATTGGCATGGTGAGCAACACACACACACACACACACACACACAAATCCTTTGATTTTTCCATTTTCTTATGTGTATGCTGATGTGTACAATAACTGCTTCTTCCTAGCTTTTGGGTGTTTGTGTTCTGCCTGTGTTTTACAGGCAAGTGCAGTTTGAGATCATGCCGTTTTGCACTTTAAATTTTCATCACATACTTCCATTCAAACAATGAATTTTAGGCAAATATAGAAATGCAATTTTGACAGTGATCTAGAACACAGTTTAGTTTAGGGTCCAATTCTCACTATTAACTAACTATATTAACTATGACTTTTGCCTCAATAAACTCATAATTACTGCTTATTAATAGTTAGAACGGTAGTTTAGGTATTGTGTGATTAAGGGATGTAGAATATGATCATGCAGAATAGGGCATTAATATGTGCTTTATAAGTACTAATAAAAAGCCAATATCCTAGTAATATGCAACTAGTTAATAGTGAGAATTGGACCCTAAACTAAAGTGTTACCTTGAAGTACAGTGGGTTCAATGGACTGTACAGTAGATTAACAAAATGCAAATTATTGAGCTGATGAAAGACTTTCCAAAACGCTTTCAGTAGACAAAAACTCCATAAAACAGATGCGAAAGTTGTGAGTTCCAGGACTTTTATAAAGTGCATGCCATTTTAAAAGACTCATTTTTATCCGTGTAAAACTCAATATGGTGTAAAGAACATCTCGAGCATTCCTTATGAACTCGCCGATCTATGCCACAGTGTCTTTCATAAGTGGTGGGATCAAATCGAAGCCTCCAAGAAAAGCCTATTTCAAAGCGTGACACCAGACGAGAGGAAGGATTTCCCGTTACAGGTGATTTGGTCGGCCATCAAAGATCTACTCAGTTGGATGTTTTCAGGTCTAGACATGTCCAAAACTGGATCCGAAGCTTTGATGCTCTGCGTTAAGATATTGCAACCAAGTGAGGCAACCACAACCGCCATCATTTGACAGTATTCCATCATCATCAACTGTATGAACATACCGAACAGTCATCGTCTGCTTCTTGGGAGTTGAAATGAAGGGTTAGAAAGCCAACCTGCGTTTCCATGCTAGTGGTTGCGTAAAGACTGGTGAAAGCCATAGAGCGAAGGGTTATCCCTGGCAACTCTCTCTCACCACTGACATTCAATTTTCTAATACTACTAATGAACATTGTCAAGATGTTCAGCAATGACATTCAGATTGTCATAGTCCGGTATTGTTCGTGTGTCACAAGCTGATACGATGCATTTGCTCTCTTGGATTTTTAGGGGTTCAAGCGCGTAGCGTAGCGCATGTCTCGGATTTGATCTGCAAAATTTTAGGGTATTTTGGATTTTTCGAAAAACCTTCTTTTGCAAACTATTTTTTTGCTTGATCTGAACCATTGCATAAAGATTCTCTTTAGTCTGGTTGCCAAGAATTATCCAAAAATCCGACGTTTTGATTCACTTCTGCGACGGGATGCCAAAACTTTCAAAGTGGGCGTGGACACTTTTAGTAAAACGGCTATAACTTTTGAACGAAATGAGATAATTTCAGCAAACTTGGTACACCTATGTATGGGCTCGGTCTGTGGTCGCGACTGGCCATTTAGTGCTATCCACCTTATTCCCGACGAGCTTACTGCGTTTTGAATTATGGGCGGCACTTCCGGTTTGGGGAACTTCCATTCAAAAAGGCTGAAACGAATCATTTCAAATCATAAGCTTGCCCTACAAATAAAGCTGATCCGTCAGTTTGACTGGATGAGCTATCAGTTTTCCTTCATGATTTATTTTCAGACATCATGAGAATAACGTTATACTTGGTATTTTAACGTGACATGTTATAACAAGAATATCTACGGCAAGAGCTCTTTTCAGTCGCTGCTTTCTTTTCCTCATGTTTATTTTCTTTTTTTCCTTTGCAATCCGCTGTAAAAGTATGAAAAAGGACAAGGACTCGTGCTTTTGGGGCTATTTGTTCTGTTGAAAGTGCCTTGTTGATTCTTTTACGCTTTTAAATTTCATTTTAATGTTCGATGGTTGAAGGGTGAGTCGATTAATGTCATCTCATTATGACACTTTTTTAACGTATTGCGTTCATAGAGCGAGCCTTTCACTGATTGTTTACAGCTTAACGGAAGTTACACCCATAATTCGCGCAAAGCGTCATGGGGCGTAGGAATAAGGAGGATAAAATGAAAAAACAAACAAACACGAAAACGGCTATAGCTTCGCAACAGTCAGTCCGATTGACTTAAAAAATGACTCAAACACCGCTGCCGTCGGCCAGTGAAGTTCTAGCGGCTGTCGGACAAGGTTAACGGAGGCCAATCGGGACGAAACACGCTGGGCCTGTTTGACTCACTTCAAAATTTTAAAAACACTGAAAAGAAAAAACATTTTTGCAGCTTGACACTGTATAAATCACCATTCAATTTCACTGGATGGAAATGAGCAGCTTAGACATTCTGCCCAATATCTTATTTTGTTTTTCACGGGAGAATCAGTGTTAGAGTGTGCTGTGTTGTCTGAAAGGCTTGTAAATCAGAACAGTTCATTGGCCCACAAGGTTTATATAACAATGCACTAATACTCCCCCCCCCCCCCCCCCCCCCCCTCTTTTTATATTTCTAGTGATGCTCCTCTTGATTTGAAGATAAAGGCCAGCATGATCTCCGATATGTTTTCTCTTGTGGGTGAGTTTCTCAGTTCACAGTCCTCTACCACTTCACCTCAGTCTCATGTTGTAAATGTTCTTGTATGGTCACATTTTCAGACCACAGAACACCCATAACTGCAGGTTACTGCCTGTGGCCGTGGCTTTTGTCATGTGGGTCACATTTGTTTGGTGTAAAGTAATGACCGGTTAAGAGGATGGAGAGTTGTGCTTTCCTCCCTGACATGAGGTTTTATAGGACTCTATGATTTTTACGATGCGGAAAACGCATATGAAATCGCTGAATCCAGTATAACACAGAATGTTACAGAATTTGGCAAATTTTGGATAAATAATCAAAAGTAGGGATACACAGTTAATCAAATGGTGATATGGACTAGTGTCTTTTAACCCTCTGGGGACTAAGCCCTTTTTGGTCCGTTTTCTCTATTTTTACATTTGGCCTTATAAACCATATGTAATGGCGATGGAACACTATGTGTTTGGTATCTATAGATTCAGAAGACCCTAAGCTAACATAAGCATGCATGTAATGTGTTTATAAAGGAAGTATGAGTGAAAAATGTACTATAAACTAGAGAATTTCAAAAACGGAAATTCGATTTTTGTCATTTCTGAAAATCACACATCACACAACAATAGTGAACAGTTTTTGAACAAAAAATATATTTGTCAAAGCCTTTGCTTGACAGACATGTGTAATTGTTAAATAAAATGTGTAAAGAACAATGAAAAATTTAACTTTATTTACAAATAGTCCTAGGCGTTTTTCTTAGGAATGCTTAGAATTTTCTAAGCAATGCTTTCTCCTCGTCACTCTCCAGTAATTGTTCCAGAGCTTGTTCCACCGTAAATAGTTTACTGCTTGCCATCATAAAAGTGCTAAAACAATAAATAATGCTATAATTGTATGTGTGTATATATATATTAGGGGTGGAACGGTACACAGAAGTCACGGTTCGGTTCATACCTCGGTTCAGACATCACGGTTCGGTACGATTTCGGTACAATGGAGGGAAAAAGCAAAACAAAAATGCAGAAGGCATTGTATTTTTTAAATAAGTTTTATTAATAAAGGCATAGAACCAGTTTATTTGTTGTGCACTGACAATAGTTTTATATAATTAGTTTATTAAATAAATTAATAAAAAGACAAAAAGACCTTGCGATATGTTTGGTAATTGTACTATTCATTTAAAATTATTTTGCTATATTTCAGATCAATATATTTGTTTTCCTTAATTTTAATTAACATTATTAATTGGCAATGTAACATTATTCTCATCTGAATTATAAATAATTGATTTCTGTATAAAATAATACCACCAATTAAAAACGCATTCGATTTTCTTTTTTAATCAATGTTGAATGTGTAAGATTAGTGCTCCGAGGACAAGAAATGAAAACCAATGCAATATGATGAATGTCCAAAAGACAGACTGTTTTGAAATGGAGTTGGATAAATATGTTTTGCTTTTAAAACAGTGTGTATGTGATTTTGGTTGGGTGACAGTTGTAGGTTACAGTTTGACAAGAGTTTACAGTGTGACAAAAGCACAATGTTGTGTTTTATTGCGAGTGTACACAAATATAAGTAAACACTTTGCAGGTTTAATGATCTGTAATCTGTATAAACAAAATGACTCTCTCTCTCTCTCTCTCTCTCTCACACAGTTCGATCGTGCCCGCGCGCCTCTCTCTCTCTCTCGCGCGCACACACACACACTCTCCATCATTGCAATCTTGACATCGCAGCCTGTTCATTATGCGGTCACACCAAACGCGAATAGAGCTTCAAATTCGCGTCTAGTTCGACGCTAGTCCAAAGCGAATAGGACGCGCGTAGCCAACGTTTGAAGTGAACGCGCGTTCAGAGCTAAGCCGATAGTACAGATTATGTGTCCCTAAAGAACCCGCATATCTAACAGTAGTTCCGCATTACATTAATTAATTTGCACGCAAGTTTTTTATTTTATTTATACCGTGTATTCTCCGTGTAAATTCGTGCACCGAACCGTGACGCCCGTACCGTTTCGGTTCGATACGAATACATGAACCGTTCCACCCCTAATATATATATATATATATATTATAATTGTTCTGTCTCTCTTTCATATAAATCTCTGATAATCCGCTCCGTAAGCCTCCGTTCGCTCTCTCTCCTTCTCTCCATTCAACGCTGTTTGCGTCATATCCCTAACTATATAGTACCACCCCTTGCAAGGCTACAGAGTCCTCTGATTTGCTAGATACGTCATGGTAACCTTCCTCTGATTGGGTAAGAAAAATATTTCTCCATTGGCAATTTTTCCATTGGTTGTTGTTCGCGGAATCTGCCAAACAACATTGATTTCATTGGCCCTTTACATAGTGGTATTGCGCAACAAGGAAGTGTGTATATTTACAAGCCGGGTAAGTTATCACTGTTTTCAGCGGAATCTGAGGAAGACGGTATAAAAGACCGCAGCTCTCTATCATTAATAGTTTTTAAGATAATTACACATTTGTAAAAGTATGCCATTTTGGGCGGTACCGCCCAATCCGTCCCCAGAGGGTTAATATTAAAACACAAAAACACAGCTATTGAAGTCTCAGTTTGCTCTACTACACAAACTCAGTCATGTGTGACGCTCATCTACACATAAACACACAAACCTAATCTTCAGCAGCATTTCACCATTTCATCTGAGAAAACTATCGGCAGACACACACACAAACTCACAGCTCTTCACTACAATCCGCCAAAATAAAAGTTCAGTTTAACTTGAAGAAAATGTGACAGGAATATATTACTCTTTTATAGTAGAGTATAGTTATTAAACATTAAGGAATATCACACAATGGGCCTCATTCATGAAACACAAGCTGAACAAATTTTTGTGTAAAGCGTTTGTAAAGTAAAGCCGCTCTGAAGTAAATTTACGGATCAATGAAAATGTTCGTATTTTTAAAATGTTAGTTGGTAGGAAAGAAATGTACACCTGCTCCCTACCACACTAAAACATTAAAACGTTCTGTTCTTTTAGGCAAACTAATGACACTGCATTTGATGCACTATGTAGCATAATAATATTTCATATTTCACGATGTTCGTGTGCCTTTTTATTTTATTTATTTTTTTAGCTAAAACTGTTCAACTTTGGCTAAAACGCAGCGCTCGTCACTGTCACTTTTTACCCAGCCGTCCAATCACAGTTGGGAGGGGCGGGACAAATACTACACCGACCAACCATCCCACTTGTACAACGTCTAAACAACAATTGAAAAGTTAATATTTCTGGTTACTGCATTTTTACATTCATTTCATAAGTCATAGCAGCCAAAGCGTCTCCGCTGTAAAAACCCTCGCCTCCAAAGCGCTCTCTAGCGCCACCATCTGGCCAGAAGAGCAACAGACATTTGGTGGACGCACGTTAATTGAATATTTATTGTTTGGCATATGACATTAGTCTCTATTGCAATATAATGGAGCCAAAACTGAGAAGAGAGTCCAGAAGATTCCACAGCGTTCCTGGACACGTAATTTGCGTAGTTGTAATTCATAGACGGGGATTATGCTAATTGAATGAGCTTGCACGTGCGCCTTATATACAAATGATCGGAACTCATCAACAACAACATGCACACGTCTAAACTGATGTTTACAAAGTGTTTGTGAATCCAGAGTTGAGTTTTCGGGAAAGTCCGCTTTACGTGCAAATTACTTTGAATGTACTCGTATATTTGTGAAAGTTTCATGAAGGAGGATTTATCTATGCAATTATCTAATCAACCAATTACATGGCAGTTGCTTCAATGCATTTAGGGGTGTGGTCCTGGTCAAGACAATCTCCTGAACTCCAAACTGAATGTCAGAATGGGAAAGAAAGATGATTTAAGCACTTTTGAGCATGGCCGGTCCGAGTCCGAGTATTTCACCAGACGGGCCGGTCCGAGTATTTCAAAATCTGCTCAGTTACTGGGATTTTCACGCACAACCATTTCTAGGGTTTACAAAGAATGGTGTGAAAAGGGAAAAACATCCAGTATGCGGCAGTCCTGTGGGCGAAAATGCCTTGTTGATGCTAGAGGTCAGAGGAGAATGGGCCGACTGATTCAAGCTGATAGAAGAGCAACTTTGACTGAAATAACCACTCGTTACAACCGAGGTATGCAGCAAAGCATTTGTGAAGCCACAACACGCACAACCTTGAGGCGGATGGGCTTCAACAGCAGAAGACCCCACCGGGTACCACTCATCTCCACTACAAATAGGAAAAAGAGGCTACAATTTGAAAGAGCTCACCAAAATTGAACAGTTGAAGACTGGAAAAATGTTGCCTGGTCTGAGGAGTCTCAATTTCTGTTGAGACATTCAGATGGTAGAGTCAGAATTTGGTGTAAACAGAATGAGAACATGGATCCATCATGCCTTGTTACCACTGTGCAGGCTGGTGGTGGTGGTGTAATGGTGTGGGGGATGTTTTCTTGGCACACTTTAGGCCCCTTAGTGCCAATTGGGCATAGTTTAAATGCCACGGCCTACCTGAGCATTGTTTCTGACCATGTCCATCCCTTTATGGCCACCATGTCCCCATCCTCTGATGGCTACTTCCAGCAGGATAATGCACCATGTCACAAAGCTCGAATCATTTCAAATTGGTTTCTTGAACATGACAATGAGTTCACTGTACTAAAATGGCCCCCACAGTCACCAGATCTCAGTCCAATAGAGCATCTTTGGGATGTGGTGGAACGGGAGCTTCGTGCCCTGGATGTGCATCCCACAAATTTTCCATCAACTGCAAGATGCTATCCTATCAATATGGGCCAACATTTCTAAAGAATGCTTTCAGCACCTTGTTGAATCAATGCCACGTAGAATTAAGGCCGTTCTGAAGGCGAAAGGGGGTCAAACACAGTATTAGTATGGTGTTCCTAATAATCCTTTAGGTGAGTGTAGGTACAGTGTATATATAAGTATATATAGGAATATAAGTTTTATGCATGTGTGATTACCACTGTTTTTGAGAAGACATTTTTGTATCATAAAACACACAACCTAGAAAAATTCAATAGAAAACACAGAATTTGGAAAAATAATTAAAATGTGATTTGGAAGGGCCTTAGGTTTAGCCTCTCTGTCTCTCTCGCTAAATCTATATTGCTCAAGGATCACAAATCACTAATGAGGCATTGCTGACTGCTGGTGGTTTTGTCACATTTTTCCGACCATGAAATTTGACATGTGACGTGCCTGAAGAGAAATCAATACCCTGCATGCTCACCACAGCTTTAAAGAGTTCCCCGCAGGCAGGGTTCGTTAGCATTAGATGGCTTACATGGAGGGATTGTTTTAGACGCTTGCATGAGTCATTGAACTGTCACAGTTTGGCTGAAGAAAACACCTCTGCAGAGCTCATGAAAATAATCATTGCTCAAGGCAAAGTTGTGTTGTGCTTGTGCAATCGCTTGACACCACTCCAACAACTCTCAATCTGACGCCAGAGAAAGAAACGCTCACTGTAACGATTGATCTCAGCTCAGTGATGCTGTATTTGATCTTGTTCGTGTTTATGGCAGCATCTGTGTGATCCGCATTTCTGATGATTACTTTACATCCATTTCAAACATATCTTGCCGTGGGAGAACTGATAAACTCGTCTTCAATTTTGGTAAAAGTCCCATTAGTGAACATGAGTTAATGCATTAACTAACATTACATTTGTTACAGTATTTATTCATATTTGTTACAAAAATACAACTTCATTGTTAGTTCATGTCAGCTCAGGTCTATTAAATAATATTTACAGATACAACTTTTGATTTAATAATGTATTAAAACGAACATTAACTAAGCTTAATACATGTTTTAGAAGTATTTTTCATTGTAAGTTCAAGTTAATTAATGTAGTTAACTAACACTTAACAAATTGATCTAAAAAAATAACAGTTTTCTATATGAATATATTGAAAATAAGCGAATGACCTGCCTAACCCGAGCATTTTAAAGAAACTGTTAAAGACGCATCTTTTTTGTCAACACTAGATCCATTAATACTAATACTAATTGACTAACACTAATACCAACAACAACAACAACTTACAGTGTGTTCTTTTGTTGATTTAACTGCTTCTATTGTCTGCTAAATTATTACATGTAAAGTGTAATTTATTCCTGTGATCAAAGCTGAATGTTCAGCATCATTACTCCAGTCTTCAGTGTCACATGATCCTTCAGAAATCACTCTAATATGAGGAGCTGATGCTCAAGAAACATTTATGATTATCATTACATCATGAATGTAGGGAAACCATAATACAGTGTTCTTTGATGAACAAAAAGTTTGAAGAACAGTATTTGAAATAGAAAAGATTGATTGATTTAATGTATTAATAAAAGTATTAATTTCTTCATAAACACTTTTGAACGGTAGTGTACATCAGCGAGAAATACTGTAGAACTTCTAACGAGGCACCAAACTAAATATTTGATTTGATTTGATATGATTTCAACTTTTTCTGACTGTCTGCTCCAGTATTTGCTCTGCTGGTTTTCTACACACAGAAATAAAAAAATGATGAATAACTTATCGTGTGTAGATCATCATCAAAGTACACTTTTGCCTGAACACAGCTGTTTGTTGCCCTCAGGTTTCGTGTGTCAGGACCCTTTATCACGACAGCTGCGCACTGACAGAGCTGGGCTGGACTCGAGAGTGAAGAATCCTACCCAGAAGCCTCAGGTAAACATACACACACTTTACCTGATTTATATAGTTTTCCTTGTTTAGGATATACACCCGAGCAACACGTGACTATTAGGCCAGTCATGATGATTATTATAAAACGGTTAGTTCCAGTCTTTGGTTCTGATTGGTCAATAGCTGTGTTTTATTCACTATAAAACACAGCTATGACAAGCTAGTCATTTGTCAGTTGCGTCTTACTTCTCAGTGTTCACAACAAGTTTCAGTCCTTTCAATATAAATATAAATATATATTAAATATTACTACTGACTGACTCACTTTGTTGCCATCTAACGGCGAAATAATGTAACTTCTGTTGTTGTTCGCGGTCAGGGACTATTTTTTCCAGCGGAAGGAAGGCTTTTACTGATTTTACTTCATGAAAGTTGCATTGATACATATTTTTTGGCTTTAATATTTGTATTGTGTGGTAACCATTTTATAAAAGCAATAAGGTACTCGAGGCTAGTGCTGTATCATTAATAACTAACAGGCATGGCTTATTCACGATACAGCACAGCCTTGAGTACCTTATTGCTTACTTAAACAACCTGGTTTTGTTTTAATAATAATAATAATAATAATAATAAGAAAAACCTTCATGTTTCAGCATTTAGGTGTGTCTGCGCAAGACAAAAGTCAGTAGGAATAGATGGCACTAATCTAACTAAGATGATCTCTGTCATTGTGCTCTTTCTAGTCTATGATTATTATTTTCTAAAGATGTTAAAACTTGATGATGCCACTGTGACCCCCAGGGGTCAACAGACTTCATCGATTATGAGATTGATTAGTACTGTGGCTGCCTTCTGGATTTAATTAAGCTATACATACTTGAAATCGGACCCACAATTCCCTTCACTTTGACCCAGACAAATTTGTTTTAGACCTTCAGCTTTTTGATCAAAAGGTTTATCAAATTACTCAACAATCTTTTACCAAATGAAATAAATATTTGTATACATTCTCTATGTATGTATATCACACTAAAATTGGATGGAGTTTATGGGATTATTACATTTCCCATTAATTTCTGCTTTTTTTCAGCTATATTTTCTAGTGTGTCTTAGCTAGACCAAAATTAAGGTATGGCTCACTTATCAATAACCAGTATTTTTAAAAAGGATTAGTAAAAGCCTGCTCACACAAAATACGATAACTATAATGATAACAATAAATATAACATTTTAACAATCATTCTAATTCTATGACAATAGGGAAGTCCTGTTGGCTTCACTGTCATGGTCATTTATATGATATAAACTGCTATACTTTTCAATTTCATGCCCCAATTTTTACAAAGGCAGACAATTTATTTGTTCATTTTTCAAATTGCTTGAATTAATTTGTTGGTCAAGCGTGTGTACGGCATTGGTCCAGGATAATAAGCTTGAGATAAGCAACTAGTGTTCAGAGGCTCGTGAGTTTCACCCTGGTCACTAGATTGTGTTATTGGTTCCAAATGCTTATAATGGACTCGTAATTTTTGGCGCACAGACAGTTTGGGTGGGACTCCTCAGCAACCCATCAAACTGGCTGGCAAAATTTGAAGCAGCTGTTTCATATCAATATGATGAAAAGGATTTAGGGAATTGCATGGTGGATTTGGGAGACAGCTCTCCTCCGCTAACAAACAATACGTTAAGGAGCTGATTTCCCTGTCCATTTACTGGGTTTCCCCCCAGCATAAACCAACGTGATCCAGCTTGATGTATCAAACTCCCCTTTTTGAGCCGTGCCGTGGATCGGCTGAGTGTTTGAGGCTTATGTGCAGGTTATATAGGTAGAGGTAATTAGGGTACTGCTGATTACCCTCTTTGGTAACACTTTACTTGAAGGGGTGTGCATAAGACTGACATGACACCTTCATAATCATGACATGACACATGGGGTTTATGTATGTTTATGACAACTGTCATTAAGTGTCATTCGCTTAATTATGACATTTTTAATGCAAATATGACATTGTTTGAGATGTCTTTGTCATGACAACTTGACATAAACCAATACATCATAACCTGTCAGTGTCTTTGTCATGACAACTTGACATTATCAAGACAACACAACCTGTCATAAATATGTCATAAACGTGACATACCAGATTAATTGTCAAACTTAAGAAACTTTAGCTTTATGAGTTAACTTTACATTCAACTGTTGGCCATTACATTACATTACAACCAACGGTTGGTTTTGACATTGGCTGTCATAAGACCATTATAACATTTTAATGACAAATTCAATGTGTACCACTGTAGTTGAGGTCAAGAAACATATTCATGACACAGTTATAACGGCCTCATGACAGCCAATGTCAAAACCAGCCACCTGACAGTTTAATGTAATGTTAACCCATAAAGCTAAAGTTTCTTAAGTTTGATAATTAATCTGCTATGTCATGTTTATGACATATTTATGACAATTTATGTTGTTTTGGTAATGTCAAATTGTCTTGACCAAGACACTGACAGGTTATGATGAATTGGTTTATGTCAAGTTGTCATAACAAAGACATCTCAAACAATGTCATATTTGCATTAAAAATGTCATAATTGAGCAAATGACACTTAATGACAGTTGTCATAAACATGCATAAAACCTCCTTCATATTCATGATTATGAAGGTGTCATGTCAGTCTTATGCACACCCCTTCAAGTAAAGTGTTACCAAATCTTTGAGTTGCTTGATACCCCATTGTTATAGTACAACTGCACTTTCTAGTTTTAATAATTTTGCGAACCTGACCAAGTGATATAGAGCTATATCGAACCTGACATTGCTTTTATACAACAGTTCGGCGGAGCAAGTATTTAAATGAATGAGATGCAATCATGGAGTGTCTTTAAAAAAAACCTACTTTCTTCCACCACAGATTCAAATATCAAGTTGACAATTTAATAGTTGAGCCCAAGCCTCTGTTACTAATTCGAAAACATCACCTTAGAACTAGCAATTAAGGAATAGACTGCTTAAGTTAAGTTATTATTATGTATAGTATTACTAAGTTGAGTATTATGAGAAAGAAAGAGAGAAGAGAGTGTGTGTGATTACCTGCATGCGTCTGGTATAGCTTTCATTCTCTAGGTCAAGTCATAAATGCGAACAAATAATGAATCAGTTTGCCATGTCCGTGTGCGGCGATATCTTTGTCATAGCATCCCTTCAAGAGTTCAGGGGATTTCACATGACAGACATCAGCGCTGTTCAATGCATTGACCCCGTGACTGCGTTGTTTGTCTGTTGAGACTCGTAAGGTGCTGTGCAAAGTTAAAAACCTTGTTTCATTCCTCAATGAATCTGTAGTTACTGAAAAGTCTACTAACACACTCATAAAGACAGTTTCTCCTCCGCCATTGCCGTTCGCTGGGCGAAATACTGTCGCTATGGTCATTTTGTAAGTGTATTAAAGTCCTCCTGTGGTGAAACCAAGCTTTAATGTTGTTTATGTGTGTATGTGGTGTTTTTAATATGCTTTAAGACACACCATGTGTAAGTTCATAAGTCGACAGCATTGCTGAGTATTTTCTGCTTAAAACTGCAGTGAACCAAAGACAGTCTCAAAAACACGGTTTGAAATCGCTGGTGTTTCTGACGTCACAAACGACCTTGTAACCAATCAGATCAACGTGTGATCGTCAACCAGTGGATCTCTGAGCTGAGTGAGTGAGTGGAGGCGGGGCTCATTTGCATATTCATAGAACCACGTATACTAAATGAGGCAAGGGTGTCGAGTTACATTCAAGATATTTTAAGACATGAAGAAATTTTTTCCAAGGATAAAAACATTTAAATATGTCATTTAAAATTAAATATTTTACTTCAGGGGGACTTTAAATACTTGAACTGTTGTATATAAGCAATATCACACTCGTAGCCGTGCGATATGGCTCTATATAATGATTATCTACGGCTGAATCACAGCCATAACACCAAATCCATCAAGACTGAGGCAATTTTATCTTTATAATGAAGTGTTTTATTTTTAGAGCTACATATTTCCAGTGAATTCAGACCATGCACACATTAAGCACACGATCCAGAAATGAGCTTTAGAGGGTTTATGAGGTGTGTTGTTGATCGTGTCTGTAGCACAAATGGTGCAGGACTGGTTATGTGTGTAAGGTTAATAATTACATCTCTTTTAAACAGCATGTGAAAGCAGTGTGTATGCGATGCAACTACTACAGTGGATTTAACAGTTTCTACTATATAACAGCGCTGCGGCTCTATAGACGATAAGGCATTTCTGTTAAGGGATTGCTCAAATCACCAACTCGTCCGTTACTTCTATTTTATATAATTTGACTCTGAGTGTCTCTTACGCAGTGATGTTTGCTTGAGATGAATTTTTGCCACAACAGTTTTGGTGTCAGAAGTGATATTCCTTGGACGTGCCTCCTGGACCTGAGATCGGACGGTGTTTGGCCACCTGGACTAAGTAAGTTCCAGCTCTACCTCGTAAACTTGAGAGAGAGGGGCCGACCGATATCAGGGCCGGGAGAATCGACCACTGGAATCTAAAGAACCCGGTGGCAACAGAAGCATCTCTGGTAAGAGACAGTTCAATTTATTTTCTTTTGGGTAAGTTAATTAAATTCAGTTTAAGTGGGGAGAAGAGTGAAATTGAACCATATTGGCTGAAGGCTGTTTCTGTGGTACGTAATCTGAGATTAATTGAGATCTATATAGATCAAGAGATTTCAAACAGATACGAGGGAAAAATCTGAGATTAATTGAGGTCTGTAACAGAACAAGAAATTTCAAGCAGATAAATAATCTGGGATTAAGTGAGAACTGTAACAGATCAAGAGATTTCAAACAGATAGGTACCCTGAAAATTAGTTGTTCCACGACGGAGCAAATTGTTTTTAGGTACTGAGGCTAATTAGGGGGAACCAGAATTTTTTGGTAAACCGTAATTAGGAGGGCACTAATAGTGCAACCCGACCGATTTGGGTTAAAAGAAAAGAGTCGGATCTGTTTGGGACGCCTAACAGATTAAAGAAAACGCGCGTTGAAGAGAAATCCACAGAGAACAAAAAAACAGCCAGTATGGGGATGTCTCAAAAGCAAGCTTGCGAAATTTGATACACCGGTTTTCTGTAGAACTAGGAAAGTATGGGGGAAAAAATGTATGTTTTAGATATTGAAAAAACTGAGAAAATACCATGATTTCCCCAGGGAGGGAACACTGAGCACAAATAGACTAAGACTTCTCTGGTTAGATTTTGTTAAATATGGCATTAAATAGAGCTTACTAAATTGAATTAGAAGTGAACACAATATGGTTAGGAAAACCGAGGTGAAATATGGAGATGGGCGTAGATTAATGGAAAAGGCTTAATGATAGGAGTTAGGATTGTTATTCTAATAATTTTGTTATTCATGGGTGAATATGATTACAGTGACAGGTGAAACATGCTGTCTGTTCAATTGGTGAAAAATGACAGTCTATCCCAAGGATGAACAAAATTATGTGACGATACATGTAGCGGGAGCTACAGTGAGATATGTGTTAAATGTATGTTCTGTTTGTTTTTCTTCTATTTGTTTATTTTCTGAGAAAGATTAAGGGCAAAAGATTTAAAGAGGGTTAAAAGCAGCGGTCATCCGTGTTACGAGATGGCGTACAAAGATAGGGTTTGAAACTGAGTGATTTTTATTATACTTTTATCTGTTTGTTTCCTTACTATGTTATAACTACCTTTTTCCTTACTGGCGTGACTGAGGGTCTGTTTACAGGAGCGCAGGAACAGTGATTTCTCGTTTAGCCCGGCGTCGTAAAAATGTTTACTTGCTAGCTAAAATATTACGGGGCCTTTCCCCAACAAAAACAGCCTTATGCTTCTTCATTCTAAACTTTTCTTCACAGGTTCAAGGAGAGTGATCATTTATGCAAAAATCAGAGATAAAGAGTATAAGTGTGATGATATGACTTAAAATTTGTTTTATTGTTTATTATTGTGATTATGGGTAATCAGAATGATAAAAAGTGAGGAGTTGTAGTGGCAATTTTAATGATATTCATTGATCTTTAGTGAAATATAGATGATTCAAAGAATGTCACATGTGTGTCTCACTTGTAGTGAGAGAAGATTCTGTTTATGTACCTGGGGAGGCAGAAGAGGGAGACACTCCAGAGAACAGACGAACAGGACCTCTGACCTAGATGTCAGAAGGCCATTTTGGTGCAGGGGGGGGCTTATTGGGCCAACTAGTGACGTCTATGGAAAACTACTGGGAGGAAGGCTCTGGGGGGAAGAAGGCCTTGAAACTAAGATAAAAGCTAGTTCAGTCTGTCTGGGGGTGTGTCACTCTTCTGCACAGGGTAACAACTGTGTATTAGACTGCTCCTATTCTTGCAAGAATAAATACTTCTATTTTATATAATTTGACTATGAGTGTCTCTTACGCAGTGATGTTTGTTTGAGATGAATTTTTGCCACAACATTAGCAACCGGAGATATTTATAGTCCGCTCAGCTCGGAGAACCCTTCAGTTTAGCTAACTTACGAGCCAGAAAGTTCACGTTTTTTTTTTCATGTAAGTTAGGCTTGTCTAGCCATGGGCGTTACACTTTCGTTTTTTTTTAACCTATAATTAAAACACACAGGTAGGCATAGTATAACGGCCAACTAGATGTTTGTTTTGACACAATAAATTGTAACCGGATACTTTGACTGCCTGTTGCTATGGTTACTCACAGCTGATGTAGCCAGCGCATTTATTTATTAATTTCGAACGGTAAACAGTCAGCTTCACCAGAACTCCTTTACTAGCTGTCCTCTATCACTTTTTAATGGACACCCTGCAGCCAATCAGAATCGAGTATTCACCCAGACCATGGTATAACATTAGTTAATGCACTGTGAACTAACATGAACAAACAATGAACCGCTGTATTTTTATCAGCTAACGTTAACAAAGATTAATAAATACTGTAACAGATGTATTGCTCATGGTTAGTTCATGTTAGTTAATACATTAACTAGAGTTAATAAATAAGACCTTATTGTAAAGTGTTACTGATATTTTTAATATCTCATAATTTGGCAGCCGGTATATTAGGCTGCTGTCACTTTAAGACGCACAGATAATCCCATTATACTGTTTTATATAGCCAATATACTTGGCACTTTGGGTGTGAGCACAAAATCTGCAGGAATGAGTAAAATTATGCTGAATACACGCAATCCCACGGCGAAATTCAAGCCCTGTAACACCAGCAATATTCATCCGGAGCAAATGAAACGAGTGAGTAAAGGGATGCGTGTTTGTTTGTGTGTAACTCGCGTTCAGAGAGATGAGAGAGAACGCTGGTATTGTGTAACCCGCGGAAGAGTTTCAGATGTGTCAGTATCGATATGTGTCGAATAGTCTAAACACTAGATTGCACTTACTTTGTTATTTCAGATGCCTTTTTAAAAGACTACAATTGAAAAGTGTATATTATAAAATTCAACCTGCCAAAGTGGCTAGTAGGAGTGACTGCGTTACACGCCACCGCTGATATACACCCGCTTTAGTAGTAGTAATACTGATGATGCGTGTAATATTTTTGTAATAATTCCCTCTGATCCCCAGCGTCAGAGACCGCCGTCCTCCAACAGTGCCGACCCAGAGGCTCAGAGAGAGACACACAGCGCGAGGCAAGCGGAGAGCACACTGGGCCTGACAGCAGAAGAGGTCAGCATCTCTCACAGCCCTCGGTGTTTCCATGACCTCAGCCAAACCATGCCTGCGTGAGGAATGTGCAGATAGCAGGCTGATGCATGCACCTTCTTCTTGGCTGCTCCTTACATATTTGATATTGAACAGCATGTTCTCTCCTGGACAGATGAAAGTCCTGCGGAGGGTACAGGAGGAATATGACAGGAGAGGCGGATTTGTTCGGATCTTTCCTACTCCGGACACCTGGGAACTTTACAGGTTAGAGAATGACAGGACAGAAAGAGGGACGGTTTGCATATCACAAACTGATGAGATGATTTAACTGAAGCCCAGAAATGGCGACAAAAGCAATTTGTTAAAGAGCAACTTTACAATTCGTTTACATTTGTAAACATCAGTTCTATAGGGTTTGCTTTAGGAATAGTTGCATGTAATTACGCAAAATTTACTGTTATTACTTTAGTAAGTGCGTGTAACGTGGACACTGTAAAATAAAGTGTTAGCACGCTTATTAATCAACAGTTAGTCAACTTTTACAAACACATTATTAAAATCAGTATCTAATATTATTTAACAATGAACAGTTGTGTTTGTATTAACTAATGTTAACACAAAGATTAATAAATACTGCAACAAATGTAATGCTCATTGTTTAGCTAATGGAAACTTATTGTAAAGTGTTACTGCAATTACATGGTAAAACCACACGGTTACATCATTATTCATTTACAGCCATAAAATGGTTGCCGACAGAATGCAAAGACCCATTTTGAACACTTACAAATTGAATACAGCAGCTAAATACAGCTGTGACTCCTTGTTCTGTAAAGCCCGGGGCAGGACACACCAAGCCGACGTCAAAGCACTAGCACAAAAAGCTGGACTTAAACACACTAACAGGACGAAAGGCGACGGTTAACCAACACGTGTGTGTGTAATGAAGTAACCGTCTATATCAGCGGGTATCGATAGTCCATTTTCCTCATTCAAAAAGGGAAAGTGAAACTAGGGCTGCAGAAATACAAACCGTAAACAAAGCAGCGCTTGCTTACCAGTCGGCTCATGTTATTATGAAAATATTTGTGCTTTCGAAAGCTCAGGTAAGATGTAAAATCTTGACTTCTTTGCTTGCTTTCATCACTTTCGCTTTTATTCTCGTACACCGACTCATTTGCGAAGCTGAATAACCAATCAGAGTTCCCTCTCGCATCAACATGCTGAATCGGCTCAAAAAACTAGAGATCACACCGGAAACACGAAGCCGACCGAAGCTCAAAAACAGCCTGACATCTTGGCGTGCATTGCCCGAGCGATCTATGATAAACCATCACACTCGGGGTTATTACAGTTCACTAAAACACCATAAACAATGTTAAAAATGTTACTTGAAATATAATTTCTCATTTTCCTTAAGTTTAACTTGATGCAATAAAAAGAGGACTTACAATAGAGGAACAAAAGCAATTTGTTAAAGAGCAACTTTACAATTAGTTTACATTTGTAAACATCAGTTCTATAGGGTTTGCTTCAGGAATAGTTGCATGTAATTATGCAAAATTTACTGTTATTACTTTAGTAAGTGCATTAACGTGGACACTGTAAAATAAAGTCTTACCACGCTTATTAATCAACAGTTAGTCAACTTTTACAAACACATTATTAAAATCAGTATCTGTTAATATTATTTAACAATGAACAGTTCAACAGCCATAAACAAAGTTTTGTTACTTGAAATATAATTTCTCATTTTCCTTAAGTTTAACTTGATGCAATAAAATAACAATCATTGAAATAAAAATGAATAAAAACTAGATTAACCCTCTGGGGTCTGAGGTGTTTTCGGGGTCCTTGAGATGTTTTGGCATGCTCTGACATTTGTGCATTTTTCAGTTGCTTATAAACATATTAATGGCACAGGTGAAATTACACTCTATATAGCACACACAGGGCTACCATTATATGTGAGCAACATGTATGTACATGTTTGTATTTTTGAGAGAATATTGTTTATGCGTGGTTATTGAAAAAACTAAAAAATAAATTTTCTAATATATGGCCACAAATAACATACTAAATATCTGTCCACAAGACTTTTGACTAGTGGATGTTGTCGCCTAGAGTATTTGCTTCAAATTGATCTGAAAATCATTCTGGCTAATCATTCACATAAAACAATAGATTGTTTTAAATTGTGAAAAACATTTTTTTGTTTGCAAAGGCAATATGCGGATGGGCGGATCGGCCCAACCCCCTCATGAATAATTAGGCAGTTCTCACCTGAGCAGACTGCATACTAATGAGCCTTTCATTCAGGGGTGTCACACAAGAAAGAATGCAAGGACAATATATATATATAAATAAATAAATATTTATATACACACACACACACACACACACACACACACACACATATATATATATATATATATATATGTGTGTGTGTGTGTGTGTGTGTGTGTGTATATAAATATTTATTTATTTATATATATATATATATTGTCCTTGCATTCTTTCTTGTGTGACACCCCTGAATGAAAGGCTCATTATATATATATATATATATATATATATATATATATATATATATATATACATATATATATATATATATATATATATATATATATATATATATATACATATACATATATATATATATATATATATACAAACAATCAAAATATAAATGAAAGCCAAAAGCACATTTATAGTCACACCTTTTAGCCATCCACATACCATTTTTAGCCATCCACCGCGGTAAAAATAAACCAGTCGCATTTCAAAGTCGTACGCGAAATGACCGCCAGGTGGCGCAAAGGGACATTTAGCAAAACGTAAGTGGGGCTAATGTCTATTAACAGTAGCCTAAGGATGAAATACTACAAGTTATGGTAATTTCCAAATAAGCCTACAACAAATTGTTGGTCATACAGATAAGATATAATCTTTTAAAACTGTAAAAGGTTAAAGTAGGCCTACACTCACAGGCTAAAGACAAAACGTTTTCTCGCTCATGTGAGAATCAAACGTTTGGTTATTTCTCAGTAACAAAATTCATAGCCGAGCGGTAGAACTGATGGTTCATCATCAAGATGACACAGGTTCAAATCCCGCACAAACATGGTCTGCTGTATATTTTATATTTATTATTGCAGAGAGATTTGTCTAGCTCTAAAACTCTGTTACACCATACAGTTTTGTTTTATATAGGCTATATATATTTTTTTATTTATTTATTCCAGGCTCTCACGCCACCCCCCCGATTTCTCACGCTGAAGTGTCAACCCGGTCGGTCAAATTCCTGAAAGATATAGTTTATCTATAGATCTACCTGTTGAGCCACTCGTGATCGACTAGTTATTATACCGCAAATTAGTTAAAATATCCCGTAATCTATAGCGAGCGTGCATGCGAGACAGATATTGTGCTCCAAACCGTGCGCGCGCATGGCAGAGAGGTCTGTTCCCTACAACCTAGAGTTTTTAAAAACATGGTTTTAAGTAAAGTGTGATTTGCCAGGGGGGACTGGGATTTCCTTCTGGTCTAAACATCCCTACTTCTGCTGAATTATTTTAATCCCCACACCCCTCCCTCCACAGCTAATCAATGCTATAGGCTACTTCACCAATATCAAATATATAAAATAGAGATATGCAACAGGCACGTTTAAACGAAAAACAATAAAATCAAAACCAGCGTTTCAGTTGTTCATTAGTTCCAGTGGCCTTAATGCATGCACGGCTTTTCAAAATTTCACAAAGCGTGTTGAGATTATTTTGAATGAAATATTGAAGTTTATAATTAAGTGTTTTGGCACACCACGCCGAGTGACCCTATGCATTTTTCTAAAGTCGGGTTTTATTCTGGCATCGTGAGTTAGTGTTCGACAAACGCGGCGGCGCGTTCATTTAGATTAATTTATTTATCTCATTATTACAGCTAAAATAACTTAATAGGCGACTCCGTAATTTTTTGGTCATACAGATAAGAGTAGAGTAACTTACATCGTTCAAAACTGTAAACTTGTATTCATATTAGGCTAACGACAAAAACAGTATATCTGTCCTCTCTGTCTCCGGGAACTGCGCGTCACAAAAATGAACCGAAAGCCACTTCAGCTCAGTCACGATAAGAAATCGGCTATGTCTAAAGCCTTTAAATGTCTAAATATTTAGGCTAATAAATGTTATCTGATTATGTAGGCTAATCCATATGAAAACGAGAGGTACAGAGGATCTACTCAAACATGCGCTTCCCAATGAGAAAATGACAAGACATGGGTGAAAATCTCGCTCTAATTAAATGTAGGCTAAATCGCCCTGAATTAAAATGTAAAAACATAATAATGTATTTGTCGAAATGTTGCGATATTGTTTCATTTAAGTTCATAATTATTCTATAAATGTTATTTAATTTAGCAGCATTACCACGAAGCACCGTGTTTCGATATTTATTTGAATAATACAAAATAAAATAAAAACTTAATTCACAAATTGCATGCCTGGTTGTAAGGATCCAAAGATCCCTGTAGACTTTAATATTAAGTGACAACAAATTCACAAGCGTTTTTTCAGATTATATTTAGTTTTGCTTGGAAAAAGCTGCCCCAAACCAGTTTTATTTCATCAATTATTGAAATAATGAAATATTTAGTAATAAACTTGACAGAAATATCACTAGGCTACATGTAACTTAAATCATTTAATTCCTTCATTATCAACACTGTATAGAATAGCGATTTAAGTGTGAATTGCGACTTCTCTTTGTGTTAAGTCAGCCTCAGACTCCGATAGCCTGTGGGGGGTTGGAGGGACAGTTGCTGGACAAAGGTGTTAATGTTCCTCTTTCATATGGAGAGTGTCGGATAGCCAGCCTGATGAGCAGGCAAAATTATTGTAAGGATAAATCTGTGTCCAAATGTAGGCCCCATATCTTATTAAATTATAAATATTGTAGTTTATTTATTGTAGCCTATTTAAAGTTTTTTTTTCACACAAAATTTCAATTGAAGTTATTGTAAGGTGAATTCAACAAGGCATGCTGTGTCTTTGAAGCAACAATTAAAGGTTAAATAATTTTTTCGTGATTTGTATGGCTGACACGCAGCGACATATACAGTATTATCAGCTGTATGATGTGTTTTTACCCTGAAATGATTAATTTCGAGAGAGAGACCCGCGCGCGCAGCGAGGGAGACTAAATAAACTTGTTAAAAAGAGATCCAGCGCGAGAGAGGCAAAGAGAAACGCATGTTTTTAATTTAATTATGTTTCTTTGGACAATTTTCGTTTTGTAGGCCTACTGTTTTAATTGTTTAATTTAGCTGTAATTTCTTTGGCAATACAAATTTAAAATGTCGCAAGAATAAGATTAGCCTAGTGTTTCTTATTTTGCATCGCAAAAGAAATAAACTCTAAACAAGATGCAACCCTGTTTTAAATTAAACAATTTAAACCTTGAAATGTTCGAACTTGGTTTCAAACTTAAGTAATTTTAGTGTTCTTTTACATTACACAATAATTTAGCAGACTAAAGACGAGCTTCTTCATTTTCATTTTCTGATCGGCTGACAATCTTCATCAGTTTTTGTCGTTTGTGCAGCGGCTGCGGTTCTACAGGAATGTAGCAAATTTATGTTGTAATGATAATCAAACAAAACTCTTGACTTTAAATAAGTAAACAGATATAAACAGTTACCTATTTAAGCATCAAGGTGGGAAAATATAAACGTAGGACAACATCGGTTAACAACATGTATGCTACATTGAGATTCGATCTCGGGTCTGTTGAAGCTCCTCGAAGCTCGTGTCGTTGCGTTGATCACTGAGCTATCGTCTGTACGCTGTTTTATGTTTTATGTTGAAATGTTTTCATTATTTATTCAATTACATTTCAGTAGCCTAATTTCAGTATTGTGATTATGAATTATTTTAACTACGTTTCACTTGTTGAATTCTTCTGCTACCAGCTTTCAATCGCTCTGAATCAGCGCGGTGCGGCAGCAGATTACGCATTAGAGAGAATAAACCGGAATAAACGAACACTTTTCAGAGTCTATGATTGTAGCGCCTCTTAGCGGTAAAAGGCAGCAAATACACCACACATTTTACCGCCGCGGTGGAACAGCTGATGTGGGCGTTGTCATGGCTTGCCTCGACATTTGCGTTTGAATAGCGCGCGTCGTCCGTGGGCGTGTCAGATTAACGCGTAATGAAGTGTAATGAGCTGGGGGAAAAAATACTGACAGCACTCTCTTTTCATACAGATTGCATAAACTGAGAATATTTGTTTTTTATATAAATTACTTCATTTAAAAGAAGAGAATTCAAGCTTCATAAAGAAAAACCTCTCGTGCCTGTGTGACAAGTAATCGCGGAGTTACAGTTAATCTTAGGACGCGTTTCAGAATGGACTTCACTGACAGAGAGAACGCAAAACTCGCATCATGTTTGTTTTTCTTTATTTGGTGAAAAGCACAACACTTTGTTTTTATTGTGAGTATCCACAAAAAAAATAGAAACTTAACAGGATCTAATGATGTACAACACTTATATGTAAGATCAAAATTAACAGAGTAATTTGAGTCTCTTTTGCACTGATAAGGAAAAAAGTGAGCTGGTATCGCCGGCGAGACCGCCGACCCCAGAGAGTTAAAAAATAAAATAAAAATGATAAAGTTATAATAGTATCTCAATGATACAAAAATAAAAAAGACTGATCACACCTTACTAGTTTCAGCAAAGCAAATAATGCACCGCCGGCCTCATCTGAAGTCTTTTGTTTTGTCCGTGTAACGGCATGAGGCAGAAGGGATGACCAACATCATTCACTAATTAAAGAAATAGACTTGAATGAGTTGTAAATAAAGATTATTGGAGTACGTTTTACATGAAAATACTATTTCAGTCTTCCTACTTAAAGATTTTGCATAGTTTCTTTGTGAAATGTACTCCATTTTTGAGTAAAAATTGTTTCAAAGTAAATCCTAGACCAATTGTTTTTTCAGTGTAGAAAGGATTTTAGCATAAATGCCATTGAACACTAGAATGAAATGATATATAGGTGCACTATTACGCCACTTACGTGTGATAGGAAACATCTGCGAGCGGGTTACAGGGATCACCCTGCGTTAGATCAATCCAGATGTGCTTATACCAGGCCAATCGGTGCCAGCGTCAGTCTTTCTTCTCTGAGCTGGGAGGTTATGCATGAATATGTTAGATAGGCAAAGAAAATGAGGAGATATCACTCCCATCACTCATGCATGTGTTCTGCACTCCTGATTGGATCTGCCTGTTTAGTTCAATCCTGATCTGCCTCTGACATCATGAAATGAGCTGGACTATTACTGGGGCTTTTAGGAAGTTACAGGAATAATTGTATTTTAGTCACGTTTGAAGCATTTCTCCACTTATTAGTGTAATAAATAATTAAAAAAGCATGACTACAATTCAGAATAACAATTATGACGTGATCACTCACAAATATTGAGTATTTTTTTTACTATTTTACTATTATACAACTGAAGTAAGTTAATCAAATGTTGTTGAAAATGGAAGCGAACATGAACGCAGAGATTATAAGAGCGGGTTTCTTGAATATTTCTAAGAGCTTGTGTTGTAGACCAGCTTTCTTTCCATCATGTTGGACATCCTTATTTATATTGAGCCCAAGTGCTGCTGAATCTCTATTAGGGCTGTCACTTTACGTTCGAAAATCGAACCAACCAACACAAGTTTCAAAAACGAAAATAGGGAATGGATTTTAACAGCCTTTTTTTTTTTTTTTTTTTTTTTTTTTTTTTTTACCAAAAATGTGTGTTAGGTGGACAGATTAATACAGCACACAGAACATGTGGGATGCTGGACAATAACAATGTCTTTTCTGTTCACCAAATGCTTTTTAATATTCGCTATTACTTCAGTGCAAGTGAACAAAATGGTAAATGGTAAATGGACTGCATTTATATAGCGCTTTCACAGACCCAATGGCCACCAAAGCGCTTTACAATTTGCCTCACATTCACCCATTCACACACTCATTCATACACCGACGGGCGACGGCAGCCATGCAAGGCGCCATCCAGCTCGTCGGGAGCAGCCGGGGTTAGGTGTCTTGCTCATGGACACCTCGACACTTGGTCAGGTGGAACCGAGGATTGAACCACCAACCTTCCGGTTTGTAGACAACCAACATGAACCACTGAGCCACTGCCGCCCCAAACAAGCGCGCCGTTATGTGTTGCGTAGTGACGTGTGTGTGTGTTCAAGTGAGCCAGAAATGCGGAGATTTTGCAATACGCTGTATTTAATATATCATGAGGATCACGAGTTGCGTATTTGCGCTAAATCCGCGAAGATTTGTCTTACACGAACTTCCCCAGCAAAGTGAGTAAACACAGAAACGCCAGATTGGCTCGTGATTTGACAGCGTTTCCCGCCAAAGTTCATTTGTACCCGCATTTGGCGGGTCGAGGGTGTTAATCTCAATCCCTGAATGTTGCGCTCCTGTTTGTCATTGTGCTGAAACTTCACGCCAATAAATCATCAGGAATATTGCTGACTTGTGCGTCTCAAGCATAGACAGTATAAGAAGTGGACAGAGCCATCTCATTGGAACTCAGTTGAGACAGTTGAAGCCCATTTTTAGCAATTTTTGAGCACTTCCGTTCCTGACGCGCAGACTCAAACCGACTCAAACTAAGCTTGATGACGTGAGCAACCTGTCTGACAGACGTGAATCTTCTAGTAGCTGTGCGTGAAAATTGCCAACGTTAATCTTGCAGAGACGGGGAACTTGAGCAAAGAGTTCTTTGGCGTGAGTGAGCAGGAGTAAGTATTCTGTTGCTTTTATGGACTCATTATCTATGGGCTTCTCCCTTGACGGGACGTCCCCCCGATTGCCTGCGAGCTTCTCCTCCTGTCTGTACGGTCATTTCTGTACAGCGCGACAGACAGTCGAGTGGTTATGACGCAATCGTTAGCCTATTTTTACTAAATCTGTTTCTACGGGGCCATAATGTAACATAGAAGGTAATGGAGCCCTTTATACATTGTCGTGTTTCTTTAGAAATAAATAATGGACAAATGGAGTCTTTAAACACCTCAGATGTAAAGTTATTCGCTGTCAAAGTGACGCCAAAATGAATGGGAGTCAATGGAAATGCTAACGCAAGTGAAGTTCTGCTACAACATGGCGGCTCCCGGCCGGCTTCAACTTCCGGTCGATGGATTACCCCCTTGGTCTCAAGCGCCCTCTTTACGCTCGTCCTAATGCCTGTTAGGTGTCCGTGGATTTGCCTGTATTTGATGATGAAAATGGAAACGTCTTTAGATGGAAAATCGATTTTACAATTGATTCAATGAACACTTATGACTCAAAAATCAAACAGGATTTTTTCACAAAAGCGACAGCCCTAATCTCTACGCATGAACACTTCTTTCTCATTGCCTAAAGACGCTTTTAACAGGCGCTCATGAACCATAACGGGATAGTGTTGAAACAGCTTGACTCAAAGAGACATTTATGTCTTGAATAAACATTTACTTCACCCAAAATATATTGTTAAACGACATAGGAAAATAGCTAAGGCTTTTTAAATGCTTGTTTGAGCTAGGTCTGGAAAAATGTTGCAGTCATTCAATGTTCAGCACCTCATAATTTTGTAATTCACACCATTAGCCAGTTAGTGATGAAGCAACTTATTCTGGCTGCGTGAAGGCAAAGCATAGTATTGTTCCTAAAGCATGACCGATGCGCTCTTGTGGAGAGCCAGTTGGCCAAACAGTGCACCGAACACCATAAAGCATCTGACCAATCATTACACGTGTCGGGTCGTAAACAGACTCCTTTCTGTTTTTACACAATCGAAAAGTGCAAGAAACATCTTGTTTGCATAAGCCTCTGAAACGTCAGGACTGATTGTTTACCGCAGAATCGGTCAGGACTTGTTGTGTAATTAGTTTCTCTCTCTCTCTGTATCTCTCTTTCAGTGTTTATCTGGAATACAAGACATCTATGAACGCCATGTTGGCTAATAAACTTTTCCATGGAAGGTAAGCCTTTCTGCCGTGGTTGGAAAGATCATCATCTATTTAAGGAATTTTCAGCTTGAGGTTTTTTTTGTTGATATTTAATGCGAGTATGTCATGCAAAGGCTTATATGCCCTGATAAAATGTCTATATTTCTTAAAGGGATAGATCACCCCAAAATGTAAACTCTGTCAGTAATTACTCTCCCTCATGTTGTTCAACCCCGTAAGACTTTTGTTCATCTTCGGGACTCAAATTAAGATATTTTTGATTAAATCTGACAGCTGGATCACTCCTCCATAGGCTTCTAAGGGATTGAAACTTGCCGGCCCAGAAAAGTTATTAAAGACATCGTTAAAATAGTCCGAGTGACTACAGTGGCCTTAAGTTTATCAAGCGACCAGAATACTTTTTGTGCTCAAAAACAAACAAAAATAACGACTTTATTCAACTAATCCTCTTCTTCTCTATGGGCCTCGAGTGAGTTCTCGTAGTGTAACAGCGCAGCGCTTCTGTACGCCACATGCAGGCTCACTATTGGCCGACGATGGTCATGTGTGTGATGCGTGTGACATACAACCAGAAGCGCTGCGCTGTTACACTACGAGAACTAAAAATGAGCCCGTTGGGAATGAATGGGAGACGAATTTCCTCTAGTGGAAGCGTTTGGTACTGCGGCCAAACAACATCTCACTGAACGCTCATTTTTTGAGATATCAACCTCAAAATTGGAACAAAACTTGTTTAGATTAATGGCTTTCATTTTCTTTCAGTTTTAGAGTAAAATGCGTTTTGGAAAATATATATTTCATTTAAAAAACATCCAAAGAGCATTAAAAGATTGATGACCGTTTAAGTTGGAAATTGAATTTTCAGGTTTACACTCAAAAAGTGGATAAATTGAATGAATGAATGAATGAATAAAGAAATTTTATTTCAGACATATAAAAAAATAAACCAAACAAAACATCAGGAAAAAATGCACTATTAAGTTGAATAAGCAAATCTTTCAGTTTACAATAAGTAACATTTGGCAACATAAACATGTCTGAAAAGGAGTAGGAAGAAGTATACACTTCTTTAATCCTACCCCATATCCATAACTTAGTAAATTATTATTATATTATTTCATTTACCACATATTTATATCTTATTTATATTTATCACATTTATCTTATACTCTATATATATATATACACACATAATCATACACATACACTACCGTTCAAAAGTTTGGGGTCGGTACGATTTTAAATACTTTTAAAAGAATTCTCTTCTGCTAACCATGGCTGCGCTTATTTGATTAGAAATACAACAAAAATCAGTTATAGTATTAAATATTATTCCAGTGTAAATCAGCTGTTTTCTGTGTGAATATATAGTAAAGTGTAATTTATTCCTGTGATCAAAGCTGAATTTTCAGCATCACCAGTGTCAGTGTCTTCAGTGTCAGATGATCCTTCACAAATCAGTATAATATGAGGATTTGATGCTCAAGAAACATTTATTATTATTATCAATGTTGATACAGTTGTTGGTCTGTCAGTTGTACAGTTTTTTTTTTTTTTTTTTTTGATTCTTTGATGAATAGGAAGTTCAAAAGAACAGCATTTGTTTGAAATAGAATCTTTTGTAACATTATACATGTCTTTACTGTCCTTGATAAATAAAAGTATTGATTTCTTTCCTCCAAAAAATAAAAATAAAATTCTCACTGACCCCAAACTTTTGAACGGTAGTGTACGTCAATGAACACATATTGCAACTGTTTATAGGCCGCCCCTAAAAATTCGAAATATTAAATAAAGAATATAATCGAACTAAAATATAGTGCAATCATTTCATTGACCAACACTCATTCAGTACCAGAGGGTTTAAAATGATTTGTTTAAATGATCTGTTGCTCTTTGTTTCTCAGATCTGTGGCCTCCTCCCGCTCAAGGTTAGTGTCTGCAGTTATAACCTCTGGATGCAAACACACACACACACACACACAAACTGCAAGAAAAACCAGGTTTGCCGTGTTTCGTTGCACAGGAACAGGGCGGATGATAATGTCCATCTGGTGGTGGGGGCCTTTTACACACATCATGTAGTTCAGTACGAAAGGAAGCTTCTGACTCTGGAGGCGCGGAAGCAGAAGCGAAGAGGAAGAAGACGAGCAGGTGCGTTCGCAGGATAAAAGCATTCGATGGGATTCGTTCTCTCAATGGCGCTTGAGTCTTTACATGTACTGATTGAGATCTCCCACCTGAGCTGGTTATGAGCATTAATACATGCAATGCTCACACTTTATATCAGGTGTCTTTAACTACTATAATAATAAAAAAACAATGTGTAGAATGTGCTTATTGTGTTGATGTTGTGTAGCGAAACACTTGTGCTTCTGCGGATGTGGATACAGGTCAGGTTTGAACAGGTTACAGTGTAAAAACATTTACATGAAATTATTAAATTAAGTGTTCGTACATACAGTAGTAGTTAAAGACACTTAAGATAAAGTGGGACTGACACGTATGTCCAGTTTATGAAGTTGTGATCCAAACTCAACATTTTGTTTAATTTGTTTACTAAAAATATCCAGCATTTGATATACATAGATCACAGGAGAATTCATTCACGTTTGTTTTGTTTTGTTTTCTCTGACTTATCTCACATCTCAAATCACCATTAATTTTATGGTTGAAATTAAAAAAAACAAACAATTATATAGTTAGCATTTTCTATATACATACAATTAAATTATATTTTCTCTTTTTATGCATAATTTGACAAGTTACAGCTAGATTGAAAAAAAAAAAATCACCCGTTCATAGGTGATATTTACCTTTATTTTACTTTATTCTCATATTTCATCCCAAACTCTGACACTAATGTCTGCTTGGTACGTACATTACCTTTTGATACAATTTTTAATTATAAAATTGAAACATTTAGTTTAAATAGTTAACATTTTGGATAGTTTTAATTTTGTAATCTAATACTTTGTTTAAATTGTAAAATCTACATTAAGACATTTAAAAAACAGTAAATGAAAGTGATGAAAGCATGTTAAAAAAAAGTATTGTGACCTTTAAAAAATCAGATCTTTTAGTTTAAGTTAACCACAACAAGTCTGTCTGTCTGTGATCTGAGTTTGGTCGAGACACAGCCTCTGAACCAATTTTGGGTTGACATTAAGTTTGTGACATCATAACTTTTGAACAAAGATGATTATAAGAATTCGGTTCAGTCATTTCTGTGCAGCTCGGTCCAAAGATCGTCTAAGACAATTTTCCTAAGAATTGGACAAAATTTCTCCAGGAGGAGTAGTGAAAAAACTGAATACTGTTCCTTTCAAAATGACAACTATTGTAATGGGCGAAGTCTTAATGTAAGATAGTGATTGTGATCAACATGAAGAGAGTAATTGCTGACCTAAATCTAGAACTAAGGGTTCAAAAGTTATACCCATTTAAAATTTTGATTTGGTGCCATAGATTTGGTCGTAGAGACCCCAAAATTGGTCAGATTGCTATTCATTACCTTCACTACAAGTGTGCCAAATTTCATCATTTCCATATGTACTGTTACCATTGATTCCCATTAAGGAGGATTAATCGTGTCCTTAACATGACCAGGCCTTAAATCTTAAAATCCACAATGAAAGTGCACCAGACAACAGCAGGATAAGCTTTAGTCAACTTTTAACATTAATACTACTAAAACATTAGGATAAACTATAAATAAATTAATGCACAATCCAAAACCAATCAGATTGTTGAAAATGTGCATGCATGTTCATCACTCTAAATGAGAAAAAGTCACTCAATATTAAGGAAAGCATCATAGGTTAACCAGCATTTCTTTCAACTTTGTTAGCTTTAAACTAGTCCTGTCCGAATTGGGCTATTGATGATACTGTTAAATATCTGATGTGTGTTTTCAGGCCTCAAACCCTCTCAATCCCCTCACATCAGTGAGGTTGAGGACAGGCTGGAGGAAGAGACCGAGCTGAAATCATCTCACACACACTCAAACCCTGCGTTGGAACAACGCTCACAACCCAGAGTCAATCTGCTCCACATTCTCCAGCAGGGATGGGACCTCAGGTCAGTGTGGACACACAGAATTATGGGTAATCAGTCGACCCCTTTCAGAATCTAAACGTTTTGCTCATTTTCTGTGCTCTGTAAAAAAAAGTTGTAAATAAAGCAAAGATTATTTGGAGATAATACTCTTTTAGTCTTTCTACTTCAAAATGTACTACCAATTTCTGAGTAAAAATTGTTTCAAAGTAAATCCTAGAACTTTTTTTCCAGTGTACGGAGAGATTTGGTGTGTATTTCTGTAGAAAGCTTTTGAGTTTGATCAAATCAGCAGCTGTACTGTACCATCTTGCCCTCTTGACTGCATATATCTACTGTACATTTAGCAGTGCTTTTCTTAAGTACTTCAAACTCTGTTCATCTGCTGGAATAGTTGTCTTGTAGGTAACCATATTTGTGAAAAAAATTTAATATAAAAATCATTCAAATATCAGACATTTCATAAGAGTATCTGTGCTGATCAATGTAAGCACATGGCTGTCTCACACTGCAATGAAATTAATACAATTGAAACCATTATTTAAAATACATTTATTTATTAATTCAATGAAAAAGAGACATTGTACATCAATAAACATCTAAATGAATGTACTCAAGTTTGCCAAAAGGTCAATTTTCATCAGCAAAAGCTGTTATTATACAATACAGCACTGCAAAAACATGTTCTTCCTCAGTTTTTTTTTGTCTAAACATATAAACATTTTTAAAGCAAGATAATTTATTTAATAACCAAAATGACTAGAAATTAAGTTTTCTAAGTTTTTGCTTAAAGGGATACTTCACCCAAAAAGCTTCATAATAGCAGCGAATGGAGGATGAGATTTTGAACTCCAGAAAAGTGCATCTATCCATCATAAAAGTGCATCTATCATGATAAAAGTGCATCTATCTATCATAAAAGTGCATCTATCCTTCATAAAAGTGCATCTATCCATCATAAAAGTGCATCTATCCATCATTAAAGTGCATCTATCCATGATAAAAGTGCATCTATTCATCATAAAAGTGCATCTATCATGATAAAAGTGCATCTATCTATCATAAAAGTGCATCTATCCTTCATAAAAGTGCATCTATCCATCATAAAAGTGCATCTATCCATGATAAAAGTGCATCTATCCATGATAAAAGTGCATCTATCCTTCATAAAAGTGCATCCATCCATGATAAAAGTGCATCTATCTATTATAAAAGTGCATCTATCCTTCATAAAAGTGCATCTATCCATCATAAAAGTTTGTGCATCTATCCATCATAAAAGTGCATTTATCCATCATAAAAGTGCATCTATCCATCATAAAAGTGCATCTATCCATCATAAAAGTGCATCTATCCATCATAAAAGTGCATCATAAAAGTGCATCTATCCATCATAAAAGTGCATCTATCCATGATAAAAGTGCATCTATCCATCATAAAAGTGCATAGAATCTATGATAAAAGTGCATCTATCCATGATAAAAGTGCATCTATCCATGATAAAAGTGCATCTATCCATCATAAAAGTGCATCTGTCCATCATAAAAGTGCATCTATCCATCATAAAAGTGAATCTCTCCATCATAAAAGTGCATCTATCCATCATAAAAGTGCATCTATCCATCATAAAAGTGCATCTATCCATGATAAAAGTGCATCTATCCATGATAAAAGTGCATCTATCCATCATAAAAGTGCATCTGTCCATCATAAAAGTGCATCTATCCATCATAAAAGTGAATCTCTCCATCATAAAAGTGCATCTATCCATCATAAAAGTGCATCTGTCCATCATTAAAGTGCATCTATCCATCATAAAAGTGCATCTATCCATCATAAAAGTGCATCTATCCATCATAAAAGTGCATCTGTCCATCATTAAAGTGCATCTATCCATCATAAAAGTGCATCTATCATGATAAAAGTGCATCTATCTATCATAAAAGTGCATCTATCCTTCATAAAAGTGCATCTATCCATCACAAAAGTGCATCTATCCATGATAAAAGTGCATCTATCCATGATAAAAGTGCATCTATCCTTCATAAAAGTGCATCTATCCATGATAAAACTGCATTTATCCATCATAAAAGTGCATCTATCCATCATAAAAGTGCATCTATCCATCATAAAAGTGCATCTATCCATGATAAAAGTGCATCTATCCATGATAAAAGTGCATCTGTCCATCATAAAAGTGCATCTATCCATCATAAAAGTGCATCTATCCATCATAAAAGTGCATCTGTCCATCATTAAAGTGCATCTATCCATCATAAAAGTGAATCTCTCCATCATAAAAGTGCATCTATCCATCATATAAGTGCATCTATCCATCATAAAAGTGCATCTATCCATCATAAAAGTGCATCTGTCCATCATTAAAGTGCATCTATCCATCATAAAAGTGCATCTATCTATCATAAAAGTGCATCTGTCCATGATAAAAGTGCATCTGTCCATGATAAAAGTGCATCTGTCCATCATAAAAGTGCATCTATCCATCATAAAAGTGCATCTGTCCATGATAAAAGTGCATCTGTCCATCATAAAAGTGTATCTGTCCATGATAAAAGTGCATCTGTCCATGATAAAAGTGCATCTGTCCATGATAAAAGTGCTCCACACGGCTCCAGTGGGTTAATAAAGGCCTTCTGAAGTGAAGGCATTCAGAAGTTACAAAGGCATTTGTGTAAGATTATATCCATATTTATAACTTTATCAACTAAAATAACTATATTCTGGCAGACGGCCGTACGCAAGTTGACTTACGCTGGTTCCAACAAACAGGCCTGGGGCCGTATTCACAAATAATTTTATCTTACTACTAGGAGTACTCCTAAATCGCACTAAAATATATTAGCTAGGAGTTTTCTCTTAAAAGTTATTCGCCTTTCAGACCTACTCTTAGTAAGGAAAAATGACAACTCCTAAACTAAGAGTGAGTCTTCGTTGCTATGGATGACGTCAATTCTCATGCACGAGCTTCCTCGCAATGATCACGGTGATTGGTTGTTAGATGACAGGGCCATCATGCGGAGCATAACACAGACGCAACAAATCATGGAATTACGACATCTAAATATGTCTGTGTCCTACACAAAATAATAATAGTAATGTCATCGAAATGCATATCATGTTTGTGCAGGCCCCAGTGAAGTGTAATTCTAAAAAGGCAGAGAGAGAGAAAAAAAGTCGTAAATTAAATTAAATCGAGGTAGCCTAATACCCTAATGAGAACAGCCACTTGCCTGATAATGAAAAACGACACTTGCATTACCACTTTGCATTAACACATTAATTGACTTCCTATTAGCCTAAATAGACTACTTAAAGCAAGGAAATGTTGCTCCTATTGAAGTAATGTAATAGTTGAATGACGGTGGATTATGAACTTGCCAAAACGGAAAAGAAAGCCCATCTAGAAGCAGGATCAGTTATGGTGTGTTCACAGCGAATGCGAATAGAGCGTCAAATACGCGTCTAGTTAGACGCTTGAACATTCGCTCGAGTTCAATTTTTTCAACTTGCACGGAAGATATTCGCGTCACACGCGTCGCCCAATTCGCGTCATTCGCAACGCCCGGCGCGAATGATGCGTCTATTCACGTCTTTGCATTGACTTTGTATGTAATCTACTCGCGCAAATAATTAAATTCGTGTTCGGTGTGAACACACCATTACTGCTGCTGGCTCAGTTGGTGCTAAAAAAAAAAAAAAAGAAAAGATAAATGGGAAATTCGGCACATGGATATCAAGCAAAACACATGGGAGAGGATTTGTTTGCAGATCAATGCAGCATTCCCGCTTGTGTCGCGGACCCCGGACGACTGCGAGAGGCGGTGGTATGCGCTACAATCTTTTGTGAATAGGTCTTAGTGAGTTAGGAGTCCTCTCGACTTCTATTAACCCTCTGGGGTCTAAGGTGTTTTTGGGGTCCTTGAGATGTTTTGACATGCCCTGACATTTGTGCTTTTTTCAGTTGCTTATAAACATATTAATGGCACAGGTGTAATTACACTCTATTTAGCACAAACAGGGCTACCATAATATGTGAGCAACATGTATGTACATATTTGTATTTTTGAGAGAATATTGTTTATGCATGGTTATTGAAAAAACTAAAAACTAAAGTTTCTGAAATAAGGCCACAAAACACATATTGATTATTTCTTCACAAGACTTTTGAAAACTGTATCACATAGCCTAGATTATTTGCTCCAAAACTATTTGAGAATCATCCTGACTACTTGATAAGTCAATAAAGTATTTTACATTTTTAATGACGTGTTTTGTGTCAGAAAGTTTTATGCGAAGGGGCATGATCTCTCATTAATATGTATGCATTTCACACCTGAGAAAGACTCACCCTCCCATAATGGCCTTATTAGGTGCTATCAGGCCCTATCATTACGAGGAGCCTTGCACAAAGAATGAGGAGATTTAAAAAAGAATGGCTTTTAGATTGTTTGGATTTATTTACAACACAACATAATCCAAAGATACACAACAAAGGACAAAAAAGCACATTAGTAAACACACTGATCTAAAGACAGAGGCTTGAACAGTCACACAACATTGTCCCATTCCTGAAACATAGTACATACCTGTCATTTCCAAGGTGTTTGATTTTTCATTTTACTATGTTCATGTACAGAGACTGTTGAATGTTGAAGTCAGCAGGACTCATCAGTGGCATCTCATCCCTGTAAAATGAAATAAAAAAATAAATAAACACCTTTAAACATGCTGATATCAAGAGAAACTATATGGCTGCACGACTTTGGGCATGCATTGTAGATTTTTCTGGTTAAAATTGTGATTTAATTATATATATATATATATATATATATATATATATATATATATATATATATATATATATATATATATATATATATATATATATATATATATATATATATATATATATATATATATATATATATACACACAGACACACACACACACACACACACAGTTCTTAGAGAATAGGTGAACACACCCATGCTAAAGTTGACTAC